ATTTCGTATTTCTATACGATTGATAAAAATCGAAATATATTTAAAGATCTTTTTATTTCGAGATATTGGTTTATTTTTACTATTCCATTCTTATGGCAAAATCCTTTAAAATATTACAAACATGATAAAAACAATTCATTAAAACAAATAATCTATTATTTTTTAACACCTGAAGAACAACTTAATTATGAATATGAATTTTAAATTGATAAACCTCCTATATTTAATTATTTAAAATATATTGAGGAAATAGACAATAGTCGAATATCTGATCTTTTTGAAACTAAAAAATCAAATCTAATATCTATAATAGTTAATCTATTAGTAAAATCTTCAAATGTAATATATCGTTTTATTTTATTTGATGAAAATAGTTTAGAATTTTTAAATAATTATATGAAAAATCGTAATCATAAAATTCAAGTAATATTAATGAATATCGATTTACCAGATTTTTTTGAATTTGAAAATGATAATATAAATGATTTATCATTATCAAAAATCGATAACATAGATAAAGATTTTCTTATCAATTTACAAAATCTTATAATTCTTCGATTATATGAAATTATTGATATTTACTCTGAAAAAATTATTTTAATAGAAAATCTTCGATGGTTAACTTTAAAAGATACTATTATTGCTACTGATGATATTATTTTCATTATAAGTAAACTAGAAAAATTAGTATTTTTAGAATTAATTTCTGAAACATATGATATTTTTCTTACAAATTGGATTATTTACACAACTTTTAAGGAACGAATTGATGATAAAAAATTTGAATTTACAGTTAGAAATTTTGAATCTGAAGATCCAATAGAAGTATTGCAATCTTATTTTGGTGAAATTGAATAATTTTATTATTAATAAATTATTAATTTTTTATATTTATAAATATCAATATGTAAATTTTATAACAATTATCGAAAATAAGAATAAATAAAATTAAATTTTAACATGTTGCCTAATGAATTAATATATCAAATAATTTTATGTCTTGATATTAATGATAGAAATTTATTCAACTATCTTTTAGTTTCAAGAGATTGGTGTAGAATCGTTATTCCGTTTCTATAGCAAAACCCATTTGAATATTGTAAAATTGATAATAATGATTCATTAAAAAGAATTATTTATAATAAATTAAATACTAAAAAACAATATATTTTGAAAA